TTTATCGAGCTGCCGAATGTGATCTGCAGAGGGAATAGTGAACGGGGGGAGATTTGTTCACAGACGAGAGGCTTCTTCAATTTCTGTAAAAAGGGCCTTATCAGAAGTGACCTGGTTTCTATCTAAAGGTCTGTGTAGTCCAAATTAAGGGCTGAAATACAGACATTTAGACCTACAAATGCAATCTTGGCCATCGCCCCAAACTAAATAAAACCAATATTGTCCTTTTTGGTCGCAGACATGCTGCGGAAAGAGAGCAGGTTACAGAGAGATACAGTCTATGACGTGAAGCTGGCTGGAGGATGTAGCTTCCAGCTATATATTCCTAAATGGTGCTACTCTTCAACCAAAATCACTCTTCTCCTCCCTCAGTTTTTTTGCAGGCAGACATGGACACAGGTGTAAACGTGTTGCTGCCACAATTACATTCTCCCCGTCTAGTCCGCAGCTCCGTTTGCGACAGGAAGCACTCTGACACGTTGTCAGGGCGGCCATTACCGCAAACACAGCGAAAAAGCAACGGAAATGGTGCTTCGGCCACATTTTAGTATATCTGTCAGCTAAGGCCTTTTCTGCTGCTCCCTTTCTATAGTAAACATTGCAGAAAAAGACTTAATTTCCTATTAACATCAGCAGCCATGTACTTTTTGATTAAATTTCTCCTCTAATGCCTTTTCCCCAGAAACAAACTGCAATCACAACCATGTATATAGAATATTTTGGTTGGCCCATTTAAGGTGATTATCTTGTTCTAGAGGACTACAGGGGGGGGGGGGGGGGCTCCTGGACTCAAACCTGGCCGAAGTCTAGATTCTTCACCTGCTGGCCCAACCTGCTCGTTGACCATTAGTGGAATTAAAATGATATTCGGTTTAGCTCCACACATTTCCCATTAATTGCATCATTAAGAGTAGGAAAGTAAAAAGTCATTCTAATTAGGAGAAAGTGTACCATGACCTACAGAGGGTGGGCTGCCAATTGGCATTGCCCTCTGCCCCCCCCCCCCCAAGTAGTTTTTTCCTTCATTCAACTTTTGTTTGTTTTGCTTCGTCTTCTACCTTCTAGCTTTAATATTCATTGACTAAATTGTACGTCCCCTTAATTGCTTTCAAGTCTTATTTCTTATATACTGTAGTTGTCTCACATTAATTGCTCTTGAGTTGAATCGTAATGTTTTTCATGTATTAACAGCTCGGGGATGCCCACCCAGGGAGGGGCACTATATAAAAACAAATTGAATGGAACTCACTGATAGCATAGCAACAAACAGGGCCAACAATTGGGCCCCAAATGAATGAAGTAACACATCAAGTCATAGTTGGCTCTCTTCAAACCGGCACATTTTAAGCTACAAGAGCAACCAGGTCCATTTGATTAGTAAATACTAAAGTATTATACTCATTTAGCAGAGTCTTTTTAATCTAAAGAGACATACATTATTTGAGAAATCAGGGACAGAGAGTCTCTGAAGCAAATTGGAGGTTAAAGGCCTTGTTCACGGGCCCAACAATGAAATCTCTCTCTTGACTCCGGGATTTGAGCCAGCAACCTTCCGATTAGTGGCACAGGATCCCCACCTGCTAAGCAACACAAATTTGACATATGCAAGGGAGGGCGGGAGGGAGGGAGAGGGAACTCAAGGAGTAACTACTCTCACCCTTTCACTAGTCCCGTTAGCACGCTCGGTGTGACACGCCAGGCGGGAGGCTAAGCTGCGTATCCTGCGTAGCGAGACAGCAACTCGCTGCCACACAAGTCTCCTGCAATTACTTCTGCATAAAATGCAATTTATTTCACCAAAGCCCCGGAAAACATAAAACATCGAAGGTATCAGTAAATCACTGAGCCGTTGCTTATACCTTCGTGCGTTCAACACCATGGACGAAAATTGCTCCGCGGGCCGATGCCAACACTTCATTACGATTCAGACTCGATTCATTCAGATGTTTCGGTAATTAATCTCACGTGCCACTTAGCTCTGTCACCACACTCGTATTTCATCGAAACTAACCACATTGCTAATGATACATGCTTTTTTTTATGCATTCAGCACCTAAATTATTCTTGTTCTTTAATAACTTGACTTTAATGTGTATATATCTATACAGTACATATAGGGAAAAATAAACACAATGATCGACTGGCTTGTTTACCAAAGGATGCTATTGTATCTAATTCACCAGCAAGACTACCACTTTTGAAGATGACTGAGCCAGATATCATAAATTTGATCAGAGAGCTGAGCTTAGCCTGGTGAATATAAATAAGCCTTCAGTTCCTTTGTTCAGAGCTGAAAACAGTTTTGTCAATGCTGACAGAGATTATTATCTATAGTTGTCTACTGATTAATCTCCAGATGAGGAGGCTGATTTTGGGCATCACGTGGATGTTCTGTGTGTAATGTCCTTGTAACACTGTCACTGTATCCATACTCCTTTCTCTCTCTCTCTGTTCTTCTCCTCTCCTCCTTGGTAGGAGCCCGAAGGAGGACACTGGGGATGTAGCCAATTCCAGTTTGGCTTTACACAACTGTGACGCACCCGTGTGTGATCCCCCACAGCCGAGGGGCCTGATGCCACCAGTGCCGTTTCAGAGGTGAGATCCTCATCATCCTGACACTGCCCTCACCAGATATAATTACACTACCCCCCCACCCCCTCCCAACAACACTTATTCTGCTATTATTGTCCTACTCTTTTCTGCCGTCAGACTCATCGTCACCTTTATCAACACCTTCGTAATCATCGACATCATTGTAGCATGATGGTCAACTCAAACACAACTCAAGGCTCCAATGGTTTAGCTAACACCCTCAACGGCCAATCAGAGGAGCAGAGCTCAAAGAAACAACAAACAAAAGCAAAAGATGAGGAGACTGGCATCTGTTCTCAAGAAGAAACAGAATTTGCTTCCTATTATGAGGCCACTGACGGTGCTTCTTTTTTTCCAGGAAGCGCGCTGGAGTTTTTGTGTCGCTGCATGGACAATAATTTGGGAATCAGCGTTTTCATGCACACCCACTGTCATAATTCGCAGCCAATGAGCCAGCGCGTAATTTGTAAAAGCCACACAGATTGATTTGCATTTGCTGCAGTTAATTTATCCTGGTGTGTAATAAATTACTATAGTGGAAAAAACAAGAAACTTCTGCCTCAAATGTTGTAATTTGTAACTACCATGTTGATGTTTTCTGAAGAAAAAAAAAACTAATCTTCACCTATAACACAGGAAAGCCATTTATATAGCATAATGTTTCAAATTTACAATATATTTAAGTTAAAACAAGTCAACCACATAATTAAACTGCAATAAATTCAAAATAATACTGCTTGTATACTGTAAACCTGCATGGTATAGAAAAACCCTAATTGGGTAATTAACAGTGTAACCTTTAATGTAATATATGTCGTCGAGTCAGAGCTAACAGATTCCCAGGACTAACTGATCCATGACTGCAACACGATAAACATGCCTGAACACAAAACTGCAGCATTTAATGACAGATCGAGTAAATGTTTTAATGGTTGCTCGGAGCCATGCTAGTTGATGTTGCTTGATAGATTTATCATGAATCCCACAGTAAATTAACAAACTATGGATAACTTCCTAGATTTGGATAGGATTTAAGTATGATGCGTTTCTGGTTTTACAGCGAGAGTCTCAGTAACAGTGTTAGTATTTGTTGACGTATCTCTCCATTCTGTGAACATCCCATTACTTGTAAATACCACGACACACGTGTTAACGTGCTTGCTGTGCATGGAAGCCCACCTATAGCCTATTACGCATACTGTATTTCAATTTGTAAAGGGAGGGAGGTGCAGGGGTGGGTAGTGGTGGGGAGGGGGTGTTACCGCAGCTTAGCTACCTCCTGGTAGGAAAAAAGAATAAACCGTTTAATACAAGTGGTGAGTATTTAGAGATCGGCTCCCGCAACGCGCCTGGTGCCAGGGGACAAAGGCTCCCGCTGCGTCCCTGCTCCGCTAGCTTTACGGACGCGTGTGTGACTCTCTAGCGCCACCTGGCGGCCGCGCTGTGGTACAAGACGCGCGTTGGTACGCGACCACCTCTGTTCTCAAGGGGCTCGCAGTCCCGCGCGAATACCCCCCCTCCCAACCCCCACCCCCCAGCGATGCCAACTTCGGCGCCATAGAGGGACAGGTGCTCGCAATGAAGACGACCTCTGATGGATGCTAGTATGCCTGTAAATGAGTTACTATGATGCTTCTACTTCTGTCATTTAACCTGCACAAGTGCCATCGTTATAAATAACTGGCGTAAGACGATCACTAACGGGACACAAACAACATAACCGTACAGTACGTATCGCCTCAACTTTTGCTCTTAATAAATCGCATATATTTAAGCATGCGTTAGAACCCAGGAACATCAGGTTCAGATGGCATTTGATGCACTCGTGCTTTTAAACTTGCCCACATTGTTGATCGTCATCAATAGCAGCGATGTACAATGGCATTCACATAAGCTCAGAAGTTGGGGTTCCTCCCCTCCGTACCACGCATGCTGCTTGTTATCAACTACTGGCATGAATCTGTGCCATCTGAAGTGTGATGCCACGTACAATCACTTGGTCTGGGTTACTCGACGTGCACATTCACAACAACAAAAAATAACCGAGGAATAGCTACTAAGAAGACATCTGTCGAGACCGATCGCATCACAGAAAGCATCATATGTGAACAGTCAACTTCTGAGATCTCGGTATATAATATTTAAATATTCATATTTGCGTGAGTAAAAGAATTAAGGGAATGTCAGGGGGGAAATGACTTCACAGATGCCACTTGATCGTTTGTTCCCTAAAAGCAGGACATTTGTCACCTAAATGAACGTGATCTAACTACAAAACAGCACAAACCCCAAAAAGCGACCCTGCCTCGGAGCGGTCTCCAGCTAGAGCCCCGATGAGTCCGCAACACGGCGCAAATGCGAGAAAAGGGGATGCGATCGGCGCAACTTCTCCCGGCTTTCGCTCCTACCTTGAGAGCTGCAGATGAGCAATCCCAAGGAAAAGACGAGGAGTCCCGGCTGCATTGTGAGCCGCTTCGGCTGATCGGCACCCTTTTTTCTGGTCGCGGTGGAGCTGGAAGCCCTGTCGCTGTAAGGAAACCAAGCTGGTCGCCTCTCTCCTTCACAGGCTCTAGCTCTCCCTCCCTCTCTCCCTCTCTCTCACACGCACACCCTCTCTCTATTTCTCCCTCGCTCCCTATTCACTCGTTCATTGCCAAGTGCAGAGATGATCCACTGTAAAGCCGGAGCCTCAATGCTGCGGCAGTCCTCCGGCGCAGAGGCATATAATTCAACAGCTGGCATATATTTTAAAAGGAAAACCATATATATGCATACATGCTGCAGGAAAGGCGCCTTCTATACGACAGAGAATACAAAGCTGGGGGGAAAAATAAATAACACGATTGTTTAACTTATCTTGCTGTTATATGAGGCTGTGGTTTCTGGAATATGCCTTGATATTTAGGCTACAGATTGGTATACAAATATTTATTGCAGCAATACTTTTTCTCCTATGTCTGGCTTAGCGGACTTCCGGTACATAATTCCTGATGTTTATCTTTTAAGTAACATTTGACTCACCTGCAATGAATAATCTGTTCCAGTAGTCAAGAAACATATATGCGAGTAATATACCTTCTATCGGTTAATTAAATCAATCATTTAAAATAATAAAAAAATGTGTGTATATATATATATATATATATATATATATATATATATATATATATAT